AGGGAGGCAGGTTCTAGAAAACGCAGAAGAAATGGGAAATGGGCCACAGCTGCTGCTCATCGGCGCTGCAGGAACCTGCAGAGAGAAAACACTGGAATCCTGCACAAACATTACATTACTGCCGTCAGGGCCTTTCAGTCCTACAGAAATAGTCAAAATTAAAATGCTGACCTTTCGTTCGTTGATCTTGTCTCTTAAATAACGTTTGCCATGATGAATGAAGATTCTCGCAGACATGCTCTTGCTTTAGCTCTTGCACATCAGTGCATACATCAATCTTACAATTTAACACATGCAAGAACAAAGGCATTCCTCATGTGTTATTTTGAGCAGAATGCACAAGGATCACTGGGTGGGACTGGTTTCACTGGATTTTTACCCAAAATTCTGGAAAGGTAAAACATCAGTTTCAGAAGCAAGTGCAGAAACCTACCCTTCACTAAACTTATCTTAATTCAATTTTAGTTTTAAAATACTATTACATTTTAAATAGTGATGGACACATTTGTTGTTTCTGGGACCAGAAGATCTTAAGGCAGAGAGATGTTTTTTTCCAAATCATTTCCAGTCTGGTTTACCAGAAACCACTCAACTTGTATAAAGAGAAACGGAAAGTATAAAAACATAATTGTAAGTGTTGTTGCAAAAGGTCTGAACATTTAAGCAAATATGACTTTTTTAAATAAAAAATATCTGGACTGATGAAATAAAAAATATATATATTCAAGCCAATGAAATAAAAATTCAGAAGAGACTGATTTAAACTCGTTTTCTGGCAGGACAGTCGAGGTTTAGAGGTCAATAATACAGATGTGGAGGGATGAATAACGTGAATGTCTGCTTGTGATCTTTAATTAGAAATGTTATAATTCATAATTTATATCATAACCGTGTTGGGGATGATGTATTTTTCTATGCAAAAACATGGAGAAAATGCTAAACAGTAAAATTATTTGCCAAAGTAGTTAAACTTTAAAAGTTAAATCATAAACTATATAAATAAGGACTGTAGACATAAAAAAACAACATTAATTTCAGTAAAGTCCATGCTCAATAATCCAGGTATACAATCCAACATTTTTCAGTCAGGTCATCTGGACAGTTTCTTTTTTTGTGCTGAAACGTTTCGCCTTCGATCCAGAAGGCTTCATCAGTCAAGGAAACGCACAACCAAACTGATTCTTCCCCCAACAGCTTACTCCAAAGTGGAACAAACCAGTTCTGGTTGTGATAAGATGGTCTCTTTGGTACGCCCCCTCCTCCATTGCCGGCCCTCTTCCTAAGAGGACCATCTTATCCTCTTGTTGAAGTTAGTGCTAGAAGCTCAAAGTTGTTGCTTTATCAAATGTTTTCATTTATTAGTAATAACTGGAAATAAATCCAAAAAAGTTCAATCTGGTCCTCTGGACATTCAAAAAACAAGAAAACAAAACAAAAAAATGTAGAAACGTTTCGTCTCTCATCCAAGAGACTTCCTCAGTCTGAGGACCTGTAT